TAAGACAAATTCTGGACAATAGTCGACATCTACTTTATTTTTACATGATCTTACCATCAAAATCTGAAGTATTAGAAATAACTCTTGTACTGACATCCTTTTCTTTCATACTACTGAAAGATTTTGTTGAAAATGTTTTGTTCTTTTATTGTGAACTGTTCAACTAATTTTCGAGTCGACCAATTTTCGTAGACCTCCTTTTCTTTGCTGACTACATTTCTCCTTTCTTACTTTCCACTTCTCACTATGGCTCTTTTCTTTCTTTGCTTCTCCTCTCGCTCTTTTTCTCTCACGCAAATAAGTATAAGTACTAGATAAAAATTGACTTTGTAGTGGTTTCAACTTCCTATATTTTATTGAAAAAAGAAATGTTCTTTTGAAAAGAGTTAAATATTTCGTTAAAAAGTGCCTTGTGTGTGGTGTAGATTTTGTCAGTAGCCTCTAACAAACAAGGGTAGATAAGAGTGATTTTCCTTAGTTTTATATAAGTACAAATACAGCTAACTACTTTTTTTTTGAGAAATAAATCATCAAATAACAAAGAGTAATAAAGGCTCCAAATGATTAAAATTACTTTTACTTGTACTTTACAACCATTAAAAGTAGACATTCAAGAGAAACAATTAAATAAAGACAAGCATAGTTCTATTAAAGAAGGAATTATACTACTTTGTATGTGTATAACAGATTATGCTTGATTAATCATAATTTTTAACATTTATCATAACTCTTCACATAGTAGAAAGTGATATATAAAAACGTTTAAAGGAGCATATATCGATCATGTAATATAATAAACTGTTTGAAACGTGATTGAAGCGTCGAAACAGAAAAAAAACATCAGAATCACCTTTTTTGTCGTTTATCACCGTTTTTTTTTGAGAGAAACAATCAAATGCAGCCGTTTAAACGACATGATAGGCGTTTTCCTTTCGTCTGGATGTAAATGTTATTTTTCTGAATAGATCACGGAGAAAATAATGCATACTTACATAACATAATTGCTTCTTCAAATTATTTATTCTGTTCTGTGTCTTAGTCATATTTTTTGGTGCGTGTAACTTGCTTATGATGAAAAGCGACGCGGCGTGTTGTTAGCTTCAGGTAGTGAAATAAAGTATGATGATGGTGACGTCAGATTGAAGTATCGAAATCTAACTCATCATAGTCCCTGTTGTTGATTCAACAAAGCACAGGAAAAAAAGATAAATTACACATGAGAAAAAGCTATATGAGTGTGTTGATACACAGAATCCCGCAAACCAACAGACAAATTATAACACTTATTTTGTTCTTTATTCAGTCACAGACAATTATTTATTTCGCTACCTCGGGTGTGAGTGTGGATGAGGAGAATACTCACAACTACACCTCACCCTACATCATCTGGATCTGTTTGGTTTGTTTCGAGTTTTCTTTTAACTGTTCTTCGTAATAACTCTAAAGTTCATCAACTACTTGTTTTCCTGATACTATTTCTTTTTCGCTATCTAATTTCGAAAATGATAAAATCTTAGACTTGTAGACGCGATACAAATGCTATCAAAATTCTTTTCTGGTCTGTCGTAATTTGTTTAAGTTATAGATAGAAAGGATTACCATCTATTTGATTCATATTCACCAATTTTTGTTTTTACTTCGCGTGTCACCACTCACAATAGAACGCGAGTGTCTTCATTATGTCATCCACTCATTTTTTTATCTGTAACAAATGTTTCTTACGCGTCTGTTTTTTTCCAGCTGATCTTTTATGTTTGATGGCAGCAATGGTTGGTATTTTTCTTTTTCCTTCCACATGATTACTTTATTTTTTACTGCTGCAAGGACTCGAGTATATTGGTGGTACCATTCATCTACTTACATATCATTTTGCTCTCTTATCTAGAACTTTTGTAGAGGAGCCAGCATGCCTTTGAATAAGTTCCATCGAACAAGAGGATAAAAATTAGTTATTTCAAAACCTACATTTTCGCATATAATCACAACAGACTAGTGATCACTAGTTCCACAAGATAAAGTTTGTGCACCTATATCATCTATATTCGAGAAATTCAGATCAAAACAACGTAAAGAACGCTTAGATGTGTGTGAGGTGGAGGGAATGTACACGAAGCTTTTCTCCTCTATTCATTCTTTCAAAATCTATCACACGTATCTGACTATACATTGGTATTTATTTCATTTCTGTGTTTTTTTTATCGAATTCAAGATAAGAAAACGACATGCACAGTTCTGAATGAATTACTGTTTATGTGCATCTTCCTTTCATGTTTGGATTGTATGTATTGCGAGCAAAACATTGCGCTGATATCTTGTCACACAGACAAGCCTTGTATTGCGCAGATGATGGATCATTCATACATTCCCAAGTAAAGTCGTTGATGAGATAATACGATGCCAATGATCCCCAGCCTTTGTAACATCCATCATGAGCTTTACAACGTGCATCAATTACATCCATAATAGTTTGTCCTTTATTACCACTTCCACACCTAAAACTAAGATTTGTTACAACACAAAAGTAACTGATTTCAGTTTCCATACCAACATCCATAGTTATTATAATCCAATGGATTTCGGTTCGTATAATGATAAATGAATTCTGCAAAGCCGATGATGAATCGTGGCTATATTGATTGTGACTGAACTGGTCCTCCTCTCACTAACACGCTTGCTGTTGCTAGCAGTATTAGTACTTTGCACAAGAACTGGTACATCTTTGCTTACTTGAAGTAAAATGAAAATGACTTATTTTTGTAATGTTTCAATTTTGCCGTTACATCTGAATGAGCAAGTATGTATATGTAAACGATAAAGCGAGTCGGAAGTGACATGTCTTGACTTTTATTTAGTTGCATAATCATTTTAACTAATGACTCAATATTGAAAAACTATGATGATTCTTGTCCGAATTTTCATGATCAACATATTTCATTCTTATCTTTGCGCGCATGCGATTTAACCCAAAACATTGTAAATCGATGAAAGCGACCAGATTCTTACTTCCTTTCTTTGATTGTTTCATGCGTAATTTAAGCATACATTGCTCATCCTGAAATTCTGAGTCAAAAGAATTGAATGCAGTTCCGCTTTTTTCCAATCAAACACACATAAGCGCGAAGAGTCATTTGAGGGTATGAGTGTGAGTAAGAACGGTGAAGATCCACATTCACATCTACACTCCAGATCCACCTCCCGCGTATTCGACAATTTGAACACGATCTTGAATTAGCCAAACAAAAAGTACAATAAAATATAAAAAATGGTTTAAATAATGAAATAAAACATGAAGATTTATTAAAGAAATTTGATGGAAAATCTATTCAATTAAAACAACATGATAAATTAAATAAAGGATTTCAAGATCTTATTAAAAATTATCAAGAAAATCTATCGAAAGACAATAAACAGCATTGTAAATCTTTTGATACTCTTTAAACTGAATATGAAAATTTAATAAATGAATTACATGAAACGAAGCAAGCTGCAGATAATATGCAGTCATTACTTAATGAAACATCTCGAGAACAAATTGTATAAATAAGGACTAGAAAGTTTTTCAAAATCTTGAATTTGTTCATCCTTATTGATAAACGTGAATATTCATATAGAAATGCAACGTATCATTGTAACTGAAGTAAAAATTCAAAAACCAATTCTATATTATATGAATCTTTATTGAAAATCTTCAAATGATAGTAATATCAGACATATCGCTCTGAAATAGGAGTGTATCTGTGAAAAACTGGTTTTTAGGAGAATTTTTAAAATTTGATCTTGCTGAGATCATAGATATAATTATTGGCATAGAATCTATTCTGATACTCTTAAACTTGTATCTCTAAAATTTAGGAATTCAAATAGAGATTTTCTTATAACTTTTGGTCTCTGTTATAAATACAGAAAAAAATAATTTATAAATCATGTAGCTATTCAAGCTTATTCAAACTAGAAAAAACCTATTCTCTAGAATACTCATTGATGAAAACATTCTTATAGCAACATTGCTGATCCAACCAGAAAAAGATCAAAACTATACAATACAGGAATTTATTATTTGATCGACTTAGACATGACTTACTGTTTTTAAATTTCGGGAGAAACTTCATGGTAGTACTGTCATCAGCGCTGCCCTATTAGCCATCATTGGTACTAAATATAGTGACTGGTGTTCATTTTATTGTAATAGTCAAGAAATGCAACTCTCGAATATTTGCCTCATAGTCGTAATATAGGTACGATTCTGGAATATATATAGACTCACAAAGAGGAAAGTGACAATGACTTATGAGTGAATTTTGATAATATTTTTTCACTAAAAATCATAAATTTTTAATTGTTCAAGTCACATTCTCAGTTCTTTATTGACTAGCAAATCGATTTAGAGTAAAGAGACGCATCAAAACAAATTTATTTATGGTGCTTAATCTGATAAAATATCAATAATTCTCATCGTGTTTTAATTATCACCGAGAAATCTCTCGATGTTATAAAAAATTTTGAAACAAACTTCCTGCCATCAAGTACATCCTACTGTGACTAGACAATACGTATAATGATTTGTATTCTGATTAGATACGTTTTATTTTCAACTTGAACACATGTTCTCTAAAATATACGTTTTCGCTGAGAATTTGCTATTTTGATGAACTAAATACCAGATCGATTTCAGGACGATTTCAATTCATTGTATTTTTTGTCTTTTTATTCGATAAAAGTTTGGGTATATATGCCACACACACACTTGCACGTTGCTTTGAAAGATTCTAGAAAGTTGCCGGAAAATTTCGACTTGAAAATTACGAGTAACATCTTCTTTCGAAAAATCTATGTAAGATGCACAAAACTTTATTGAAATACATAGAATCATACATAGCGAGGTTAGAAAGAAGTATAGATAAAGAATAAAACAAAATATCTATAGAGAGCTAATTAGCAAGAATAAAAAGATGAATAGACAATGCTGAAATTAAACGTTTTACAAAAAAAAACTCCTGTAGTTATGAATAACTTTGACAAAAACCATTTGACGGTGTGATTTGTTGCACGTTTGATTTTATTGTTGCACGGCTGTTAAAATAAGGATCTGGATTTTGAAGGAATGTTAGATATTGTTGTCCGTTAACACCACTCAAAATTCCTTTTGTAAAGTTTACAATAGCATTGGTCTCATCTTGTCTAAATTGTGCAAAGTTACACGTGGTCAACATAGGTAATTGTGAACATGTTGCACAGACGGTATTCATTGCAGTTCTTGCCACATCATCAAACATATCTGCATGACCATAATCAGTGAAATTTAATAACTATTTTGGTCCCGGTAGACATTGATAAAATCGATCATTGCTCATATTGTTGGGTGCACAAGCCGGTATTCCAGAATATGCCGGTTTACTGTCAAGACCAGAAATTATTATGAGTACAGAAGTATTGAATATCAAGTTTTGTGGTGGATGAGTGACGTAAGCTAAAAAACTTGGTCATTAGTCGTGTATACATCTGGCGATAGAATAATACTCACCAGCTTCATGTGTATCATAGGGACTACTACCATCAACAGGATCCATTAGTATAAGAAGTCTTACTTGAGCATATTGTGTACCACAACGCTCTGTCAGATACAGCGTGAGTACATGGCATCCAGCTGATTGTGCCAGAAATGCTAGTTGATTTTCAAGATCAGGCACAACATTTGTTGTCAGTGAATTCTTTTCAAACAAATCTTTTGCTCCTTTCGTTGGATCCGTGATATTTATCATAAACTGAGCAAATTTTTGTTCAAAATATTCTGCTGTTATATTTTCTATCTTACTCACAGCAATGACGATAATTTTTTGATCAGCAATTTTTGTTAATAGGTTTGAATATGCAGCAGCCGGCACGAGACCGCCAAATCCAGTCAAAAAAATAATCACTGGATAAGTATCATTGTCAGTAGTTGTATAAATGTTGACATCGAAACTCTCGATACCTGGTATAAACCAATTTATTGTAGCACTGAATGCTGTTACGACAGTGCACAATAGGATTGCACCAATAATTAGCTTCATTTCTTTTGATTCGATTTTGCTTTTTAAAACTTGACTTTAAAGTTTATTCGCAATGAAGAACCAAAGAGATGAAGTTAGAATAGGTTGAGAACAAAAATTTTCAAATAAATACGTCAATAATCAGTCACGCTACATCAAGTATTTTTTGTTTGTTTTCAGTTTTACAGCGATCTAAAGATACTATATCAAGGTTTTTAAAGTTTCTACTTTATACTATAACGAGCGAATATTTTATGCTCTATTGAATGCTCAAATCGTAAGTTGAAGCCAAATGGAAAACTTTTTGACAATATTGTTCATCAAACATTCTGCAAAACCTCCTTTATTTCGTTGATCATTGGTTAATGAAACTTTGGTATACTTTGATACACTGAGTATGGTTTTTAAATGGTAGAATGCACTAGATCTTTATCTGTTTTTTTTTTCATTATTCAGTGGAAAGAAAAAACGTGCGTGAACTTTTTTGAACGAGGATTCTCTGTCAAATTGATCCAATCATCAGTGTGGAACGAAGATATTCGCTCACAACTTCATTGTACAATACATGTTCGAAGTTGCTTTCTTTTATGCATCAGCAGCTTACAGACTTTATCAAAGTCTTGATTCTTATCCGGTCGATGTAGCCGAAGTAATCTAGAAAAGACAGAATCGGTCAATGATTATGCTCGTTTATTGTGAGGAAAGGATTCAAAATGGTTGAAAGGTTAATCATGTAATTCGTAAATAATCATCTTTCGAAAATGTTCACTGATCAACGTTTCTGATGAGTTCGTCTTGGAAGAATCGGTTCTAAATCTTTACATTGGAAATTGCACGTCAGTTGGAAGTTGAACTGATAACTGAACAAAAGATTTTGCTGTAATATGTATACCTATTGTCAAATGAACAGTATCTTTGTTCTTTGCCGTATCTATATTTTGTAACACCTAATCATACATTTCTAAGACAATTAACAACGTTCTACTTTCTTATTATTCAGCTCGTTCTGCTTTCTTTGCTTCCAAAGATAATGAAAAGGCAATATCGAACGGAGAGATTAAATATGAGAAGTCTTTAGTTTGTGAAAATCTTTAGCCGACAGTTTCAATATACAGTTTCATTTGGAAATTTGTTTTGCATAGAAAGAAAATTTATTCATTTTTTGTTACTGTATGCAATATTTACACAAGGAAAATAGAAAAAGAGTATACATTCTTTTTGTATATTTTCTGATGAAAATCAATACATACTGCTGAGAAGTGCTATAACCATTCACTTCTTATTTAAATACTACTGAATTTACGTGTAACAACTATTAGTATGATTTTATACTATCGTCAGTTTTTATTGACCAACAGTGAATAGCTTTTCATTCTTACTCAGAGCTTTGTTGATTTTATTCAAAAAAGCACGAAAGATCATCTTTTTGAAAGCAATTACTATTGTTGATTTTTTCATAAACAAAAAATCTTCAAAGGACATCAAGTTTAGCCTACCTGTATGGATGAAACAACGTCGTTTATCTATCTACTCTTTAGCTGTTTTCATTGATCAACAAACCTTTAATATCTGCTCTCCTCGTCTCACACGACTGATTATTGCATATTTACATCGCATACAAAAGATACATATCATAGATGAATAGGTAAAATTGAAATATCGACATTTAGCTGGCCTATTTTAATATTTATTAGTAGTTATTTTCGTGTGTTCGTCCTTATTTCATGAATGCATACATATGAGGAGAACTATGCAGTAAAAAAGAGCAAAGTCTAATAGCACAAAACCTAAGATCGACAGTCAACTGACCAATACAATTATTTAATTAGATACCCACACCCTTAAATGTCTATAGATGGTTTTATTTCAATGGAAAATGCTTTCGCGAAACAAAAAAAGATGCTATTCGAAGTAGGGCAACCCAAAAATAGTGGCGCTATTACTTTATTCCTGTATCGAAAGCTTGAAAAAATTTCCTTTTTTATGTAGTGATCAATAAAAGGATGCTTTATTATTTTTTTTTTGCATTATTTCATCACTCTTCAATTTATATGATAATAATAAAATTTCGATTAAAACTGTGTTGATGTAAAACTTGACTATAACATTAGATCATATTAACATCCATGTGCGTCCTCTTTGTTCTTCTCTTTTCTTTCATCTTGGTTTTTCGTCTCTTGCCATGCCTAACCGTTTGTCAATACATATATACCAAGATGTCTGTCTTGTTTGTTTTGTGTGTGCTTGTGTAGAATTTATTTGTACATTTTCAATAAAGTCAAATAAATAAAGTTAGTTTAAATTTTAACACTATTCACCTGTTTCAGATGAATACTGGAAATGAAGAGGAAGCAACGTACTCCAGGACTCCGCTCTCCTCTGAGATATGGAAGTGCATGCTATTTCAAAATCTGCTTCAGTTCCTAGGAATAGAATCCTCGCCAGGTTTTGGATTCCTCTGGACGAAACGCGAAACCTGCACACTGGTCCAGGTTCCTGAGTATGGAAACCCGGTAACCTACTTGAAAATTTGTTTCCATGCGTATCTGATTATATTGAGACTAATGGACGTGCTTATTTTTCCAATCTATGTCAAATTGATATGGGTTCCTGGGTTTCCAAGAACGGAACCAGAAACTGACACCCCTACAACAGAAATAGATCGATTTGAACAAAAAAAAAATGCTGCATATATTTTTTTCTGTTTTTCTTTTTTTAAACTATTTTTTATAGTATTTGATGATAACTATGATGAATAAATGATTCTTTTGTTTCTAATCAAAGCTCTTGTTTTTATAGACATAGATTTATTTAATTCATTTGGATTGATGGTTACCAAAATAAAATTGATTCGATTTGTTATTAATGAGTTGTATTTATTATTGAAATATTGATTTCTCAATAAATCTTGGAATGATTATTTTCATATTACAAATAATATGACCTATCTATCCATAGTCAATCATTAAATTTACTAATAAAAGTAACTATTTTTCTTGAAGTTAATTTACTTTTTTTTGTTAATAATTTCATAATCAATGAATGAATGAATGATGATATTTTAGTCGCTATAAGTAATCAGAAAAGAAACCAAATAAACGATTTGAATTTGATATCTTCAATTGTCAAGTTAAATGAATGCATGACTGAATAAATACATCATTATTAAAAGTTCTTTTTTTTAAATTTATTTTCAATTCATTCTTTCGATGTGCGTTAGTTTAATTGAACTTTGGGTTCATTTCGATTACACGAAGTAGATTATCATGTGTTCCCTGACAAGTATTCCTGCCATTGTCTTTGTTTGTTGTTCAATGTTCATTTTTTTTACTTGTTGAACATTCTGTTTAAAAATCTATTCTTAACCAATGCATATTCTGTTTAGTGAGTAGGTAATTCACAAGATCATATCATATCTACATCATGTTTATAGATCACTGTTTTCTTGGCTACGACTCATTAGAGAAACGAAGCTCATTGTAACATCAGATGAAAGATAGAAATGTTGTGCAATGAATGAATAAAATATCATGGGTCGTTATCTTCAGGTCGTTATCATACGAATATTCAAAACAGCATTTCTTAAACTATTTGATTAGAATAAATAAAGACTTTTTGGTATTTTATGTAGATAAACGATTCGTCCCATTGGGCTCTTATAGAGCTCATATCCTTTATAATATCCTCCAAATTTCAACCAAAAAGGATGGTTTCTTCTGAAGATATTGAATTCTATAAAAGTCGGATGTTCTTGAATCCTTCATGAGAAAAGATCTTCTATTATACACTTATTATTTCGACTATAGAAAATGATTATAACTCGAAAACAAGAACCTAATGGGAAGAGTATTTTTAAAGGAGGTGGGTGTGCACTACTACAAGAATCATAACCATGCTCACATCTCACACTCGGATCTCTGTGATTTGAAGAAAAGCTTTAAGATATGGACAGTTATATGAGCAAAAATTTATCTATGATGCACGTGAAATGTAATTTGCAAAAGAGAATGTACTTGATAAGAATACCTTCAATAGAGGTATGGTGAATCTATCGAAATCTAGAATGTCTAACAACTGAATAATAGAAGCCTCTAGACTGCCTAAGAACTATGAATGAAGCGATAATAATTTTTCTCAAGTAATAGACAATGTAAAACATTATTTGCATTAATGATTACAATCGTACATTCAACTTTACACATTTCTTTATGAATGTGAATATAAGAAGAAATAATATCGTGTTTTCTTTTTATTTTTATAATCATGAACGTGTAGAAGAATTTAAGTGGAATTCTTATTTCTAAGTCCTTGAATAATCAATAATCACTTCATTTCATAAAACCAATTAAAGCAGACAAAGTACATAACTTTCAATGTTACAGACAATAATCCAAAACAGATTATATTAATTGATATCCTTTGCTTATTAATATTCAAGGTGATTAACTCGCCGGGATAGCTCAGTTGGGAGAGCGTCAGACTGAAGATCTGAAGGTCCCTGGTTCGATCCCGGGTCACGGCATATCCTTTTTTGTAATCGGTTTTTTTTTAAATAATAAAATTATATGTCGTACTTTATTTATACTTCTTGTTTTAAATGAATCAACTTATAAATGATTAAAAAAATAAAACAGTTAAGAAATTACATAATGGTTTCGAAAATGAACTGTGTTTCTCTTTTGTGTACAATAATTTTAATAAACTGTCGTCTATAAAAAATTATTACTAAGCTCAAGAACAAAATTTACTGTAATATTCAATTCAATCGAAGTTAGTATAAATGTATTATAATTTAATTTTGTCAGAAGACATGCTACATACACAGATGATTGTACTATGAGGTCATGCGAATAAAATTGACCTTATAAATGATAAAGTGCAGTATACACTTTTTTCTGAAGGACGTACGCATCTTAATTCTTCTGTTCTTCATTTCTAATAGCGAAAAGAAAACAAAACTTTGGCCAATATGATCTTGTCGTTTGTATTGAAGAGAACGAGCATTATGAATAACTAAACAA